GTAAACATTTAAAGTTTATATGGAAAAAAATGCTATAAAATATAAATAGACATATTTTACATTTGAAAAAATATATAATAATGAGAAAGGATTAATTTCTGAAGGCTCACCTGACTTCTGCATACTGAGGAGAGGGACTTTACTGGAAAATGAGCAAAGTTATGAATAGGCACAACGGAGCATATCCAAGCAATCAGCAAGCATTGAAGTTTAATTCCTGTTAGTGTAGGAATGCTAATAAATATAACAATTAGTAGCACATATTCATCAGAAAGACATGAGTAAAGAGCAGAGACTGAGACTGCAACCAGGAAGGGTGTGAGGAAGATGAATTCCCCCATATTGTTTGTAAAGACGTTGTTTTGTAGCATTAAAAAAAAAGGAGATCTAAAAATGAAACCTGAGTACATATAATATGATTTCCTATGCCCTAATTCAAATCTTTTTTTCAAAATCTTAAAAGGTTAGATCTTACTTAATAATGTCAAGTGCTACTATAAACATTTTTCTTTCTATAAACACAAATAGCAAAAGAAACAATTTTAAGTACAAGGTCTTAACTGCTCTCAATTTCAAGTACGCTGTTTTTGAAAAAATTCAAGGGTAGGAGTGTGTGTGTGTGTGTGTGCGCGCGCGCGCGTGCGCGTATGTGTTTGAGAATTTCACTATCCAGCTCAGGCTGGATTTGAATTGACTTTGTAGCCCAGGTTGGCCTCAAACTCAAAACCACAGTGATCTTTCTGCTTCAGCCTCCCAAGTGCTGGGATTACAGGTGTACACAACCATGCCTGGTTAAGAATAGATTTATTTCATTAAAAGTTGTCTCCTTGGGGGTTGGAAGATAGCTCAGTGGACTAAAATGCCTGCTTAGACAGAGTGGAGGAGCCAGAGTTCAATTCCTGGTACAAACTGAGCCGGCCCAACTCCTGGGGTGGTCTGACACACAGATGGAGATTGGGCCTGGTGGAACACCTGCCTGTAATCTCAGCTCTTCAGAGGCTGAAAACAGGCAGATCTGTAGAGTCTAATCTGTGTAGTGAGACCCTGTATTACATACAAAAAAAAAAAAAAAAGTTAATAAAAAGTGATACACAGTCACTGGTTGATGAGCTAAAGCAAATTCTTTGGACCTTTTCCTGAAATGGGCCTTCCCTGACTTGACTATCCTGTCATTAAATCCTTTGGACTTGGTTATTAAGTTGTTCTCCCAAACCAAACTCTTCAAGCAGAAGACTGGAAAGTGTCTTGTAGTTGAGAAAAAAAGACCACCTTCTTGATTTTTTGATATAATTTTGTTATTAGGTCCAGTAAAAATTGGGGCAGTCACTGAGCCCAGTTTCCTGGATTAAGTATCTTGCATCCTCTCACTCTCCCTACACTTACACTATAACGGCACAGAAAGTGCAGCCCCCGTGGCCTTATCTCATCCTCTTAGCCTGCTCTCTAGCTTCTATCAGGAAAACACTCTTTTCTTTTTTTAATGTATTTGGTACAGAGTCTACAGGGTCTACAGGGTCTCACTCCATAGATCAGACTCATAGTGATTCTCCTATTTTCAGCGCTGGGATTACAGGCACACGACACCATGCCCAGTCTCAATTGCACCTCTCAGCACAACCTGGGGGTGGGGCTGGCATGGCACACTGTGGACCAAACCCTGGCTGCTGTGCTTTACCTAAGCAGGCATTTTAGTTTGCTGAGCTATCTGGAACGCACTCTTAAAAGAGATCTCAGTGGTCTAAGGGCCTGACCGGCAGGCGCAATGACCCAGGTTCGATCTCTAGTACAGCACGCCTTGCCAGAGCACACTGGGCCGGCCACCAAAATGCTGGGGAGGCTAAGCCAGGAGATCACTATGAGTCCGAGATCTGTAGTGAGACCCTGTATCACATAAATAAATAAAAGATTAAAACAACAAAAAAACCCATCCCAACCTCCTGATTCTCTTCTTCTAGTAAATGAACTCTAGATCAAAGCTGTAATTTATCTTTCCTACTACAATGGCTGGTTGAGTTTTGAGAAGCAGTGTCACATAATCGCACGTTGCCATGACGAATTGCTAGCTTTCAGTAGAGCAAGTCTTTAACGCCACTTGGCAGTTCTTTTACATGTATTATTTAGGGTACAGCATTCATTGGCTGTACTACCAGTTTAGGAAGACATCATAATTACCAGTCAGAAATGATAGATGCCCTCTCTTTCACCTAAGTAATAGTACCTGCGGCTCTGCTCCTTGCGGCCACCCAAGGACATAGTTGCTTTCTATCCTGCTTCACTTCCCCCTGTGAATAATCCTCATCCCACCATGGTGTTCCACGCAACTGCCCACATTCTAGGAGGCAGGATAGAGGACGAGGGAAGGCAGCCTGCTTGCTCTTCCGAGGGCGCCATCTGGAAGGTGCACTCACTGCTTCTGTTCACACGCCGCTGGCTGGCGCTCGCTCGCATTTCACACCCGGCTGAGGGCAGCTGAGAAAGTCTTGCTTAAAAATCCCAACTATTGTAAAAATTAAAAAACAAGATATATACTGCAACATACAAAAATCAAAAACGCACAGCTGGCTAAACCTTCTCCAACAGAACGCACAATCAATTTGTGTATCAACAACTCCGGTGACACTAGGAGCCTCCTGCGGCCCCTCTAGGGGTGACACTATCCTGTGGGATCTGCTGCTGAGTCCTACTGCACTTGCTTTTCTGCTTTCCATAAACAATCACACACACATTATTTGTGTCTGAATTCTTTGGAATGGTGTTTCATGAGCATCAGTTATACTACTAATAAATACTGATTTATTCCAACTCTGCTGGGTAACAAGCTGTGAATTCCTTCATGCTCTCATTATGAATATATTACAACTTTCCACATCTGTATATACTTTCTTTCCTTTAGCATCACACAAAGAACATGTCACTCCTGCTCCCTTCTGTCGGAATAGTCATAAGATCTGCCCCAATTCAGGGAGGTAGAAAAGAAAATCCAGATCAGAATAGGTCATACTACATAAGGACACACTGTGTGGGCATCTTTGTGCCACGTGGCACATCTAGCTTGAAAACATGTGCACATTGAATACCACAGTAATCATATACACAGCTGTGACAAATGCCATTGTTTTGAGTCACCAAATTTTTAGTGATTTGTTATGCAGCAGTAACTGTAATACCTACATGTATGTTACCTATTGTAACTTGAATGCTGCATAACGAGCCACTCCAAACTGTGGCCTTCTGCCATAGTGTTTATTTTTGTCTACAAATCTACAGAACAACAGGATGGTTCTGGAAATATCAGGCAGGCCTGCTTGATTGGAGGCATAAAAGTTATAGGCAAACACTGGTAGACTGGATGCAAAAATAGTTGGTACAGCACAGGCTCACTTAGGTACCTCTAGTGTTGTTGGCTACCAGCTGGTACAGTAGAGGTGACTGGCCCCTGTTGTCTCTAACAGGTGGCTAAGGCTGCCCTTATTACCATGGAAGTGGCCAGAAGTCTAACATTACGAGTGGAGATGTTCAAAACCATCAGAGGTCAGGGCTGGCACACTAATTTCCTTTGCATTATATTGACCCAAACAAGTCATAGGTCAGTCCTCCAGATTAAAGTGGTAGGTAAAATTATTCAATTTGTCGGGTGGCAGAAGCTGAAATCTGAAGACAAAGAACTTGAGAACAAAGAATGAAAAGCTGGAGACAAACTGCAATCTATCTATACCCAATATGTAAAAACCTTACTCCTTTGATAGTATTAAAAGGAAAAATTCCTATGTGGCAGACCACTACATTCTGAGGCTCTCAATGATCTATGCTAGGGCTTAATGACTACTAGTCATCTGGAAATTATTGCAAATACATGAATTCATTTAGCTTTCAGTGGCCTATTTCTTTCCCATTTCACTTAGTTCATTGTAGGAAGCATAAGCTACTTTTCTTCTAACACAAAGGCTAATTTATGCTCTAGAGTCTAATGTTCCCAGTACTCTCAGTAATAAACAGTAAGCAAATTCCTCTGCATCCAGTGTAAGTGAATTAGCAACTCAGAGGTCAACAACTGGATTTTAATGAATAATTTTGGCAAAAGTGTTTTTTGCAGATACATCTACAAGTATAAAACATACATAAAAATGAAAATACATTCTTTCTCTCCATAAATATTTATTAAGACAGATGTGGCTAACTTTAACACAATACATACTTTAGAGCTTAAAAACTAAGAAATTTTTCTCCTGCTCATTTTGAGACACATTATATTTATTACTCGAATACTGGATATACTCTCTTTTCACTTGGTTTATTTATTTATTTTTGCGGAACCAGGGATTGAACTCAGGCCCTTGCACTTGCCAGGGAAGCACTTATTCCACTGAGCCATCTCCCCAGCCCCTGTCACTTGGTTTATTATAGGTTAGTTTGCATTTTAAAGTTTTAAGAGAAAACACAAGAAAAAAAAGTCCAAGTTACCATTTTATTGAATAGTACCTAGGAATAACATGTTTGTAAATTAGCTCAAGTTTGAAAAACATTGATAAAGTGATAGAGTGCTATTCTTATTTTCAGGATTTTCTTTTAATAAAAAAGGGTAAGAGAGTTTGTCTTCACATTGGTGGGTTAAGCTGCATCTGCACCATCCACAAACTTGATACATCAGAACGTCTGCTTTACAGAGCAGCACTAATAGGTCACACGAAATAGAGATGCCAACTCTAGGAGACATTCATTCCTTCTGGGACATTTAATTCTTCTTTTAAATTTTTACCAGCACATTTATGATTTCACAAGTAAACAATGACCAAGGACCACTTTCCTCAGATACAAAAGATTTGCCTTTCTGACAGCTCTAGTGTAAACTACAAAGAAAGATTATATAAATCCGATTCTGGAGCTCAAACTACATTTAATCAGTAGCTATCAGGGTTGGCATTGTTGGGAAATAATTTTTATTATGTAGGGTTATCCTAGTCACTACAGAACATTTGGCATTTCTGGCCTAGTCATTAACTATGACAACCAAAAAATAGACTCATACATTTCCAATTGCATTTTGGAGCCTACAGGTTCAAAATTACTATCTATTAACTTCATAACTTCCACAGAAAGTAACTGCCTCAGCACCTTCAGTAACAGTGACTGAAGAACAGGTTTAAAAGGAAAACTTATTAAGTGTTCTTTTGGGAAAATAAGCTGATTACTTCAAACTCCTGGTGATCTGAAAGGATTACATACAAGAAGTACAATACTTACTTATACCCAAATATACACACAGATTTAACAAGAAAACGTTTACATTTTACTGACATAGGTCACGCCGTTTATCTTTGGTATAGAAGTACGTTCCTGTATTACAATAAAGCCACGTCCAGCTTCTCGTGAGCTCCATCACACTGATGCTCCTGGGAACTGCTGCTGTCTTTGCTCTAAAACTTGCTGATTTAGAAGCTGCTGCTGTTTCTGTAAAAACTGCACTACTTCAGGACTTCTTAACAATGACTTGAAGGAAACAAAAGAAAAAAAAACTATTAACAGCTTTATTATACAATGAGGTTATATTTCTCCTATGGAATTACTTTGATATGTCCCTACACAAAATACAGTGTCCTGGGCTGGTGAGATGGCTCAGTGGTCTAAAGCACCTACTCAGAACAAGCTTAGCAAAGCACAGGGACCATGGTTCAATCCCCCAGCACCACATGCCAGCCAGGCCCGCCCCCAGGTGGGCTGAGCTGGCCACACACATACACACAAAAATAAATAAATAAAATAAATTAAAAAAAAAAAAAACCCAAAAAACACCAAAATACAGTGTCCTTACAAAACAATAAATGCCTTACTGAAATTAATAAAATAATAAAACTAGATGCCATCTATCACAGTACTGAAACAGAAATAATGGCTGGAGCCCGATGTCATCTGTGGCTCTGCACACAAAGGAAACGTTTCCCAAGCCATATCAGCACATACGTTCCTTGACTCACATATGAGCAAACGAGTGAGTGCTGGACAGGATCACAGCACGACGAGGGCTCAGATGTGAAAGTAAGGGCTAAACGTCAGTTTGCAAATATAAAAACTAGTCCTGGGATTCAAGTTTATCCTACTAGTCTAAGACTTCATGAAGTAATTAAGAAATACATATTTATGTACACATACGGATGTATATATATATAAATACAGAATCATTATTAGCACATTACTGAAATTTCAGAAAAAAATTAAGTTCCCTTAAATAACCAGAATGTTTTTTGTACACTTACCATTTTTAAATCCGTTTTACATCACATTATATAACAAATATAATAGACTATGGTTAATACTTTTACGATAATAAAATATTTGTATAAATTCATAACAAAAACCTCAGGTCTCAAGTTGAAAAAGATAAATCAAATAAGGTAGAAATATTATTAAATATTGATTAAACGCCAAGTGTGGTGATGCACACCTGTAATCCTAGCACTCAGGAGGCTGAGGCACAGGACGTCGTGAGTTTGACACTAGCCTAGGCTGCAAAGTGAGCTCGAGGCCAGATTGAACTGCACGCTGAGACCTTCTCTCTCAAAAAGACGAAAAAAAAAGTTTAAAGTTTATTATGCATTGTATGTTTTATTTTATAGCATATTTTATATATATTACATAATTTTGTTTCAAAATTACTTGTACAGACTGCCCAATGTCCTCTTAGGTAGACTGATAATAATCTAATTAATTGTAATGAGACTAATGGACATTTAGATTGTTCCAATTATTATTTTACTATTCACGATCAATATATTTCTTACATTTTAACCATACTGAGGAGCTATTTCCTAACTACGGATGTTGAGGGAAAAGGGGTGACCATGCTAACGACCCCAAAGACACATCGCCTGCCCGCCCTGTAAAAGTGCCAGACACACCGTCATGGGATGGGCATGCCATCACGGGGTGGGGCGTGCCATCATGGGGTGCCACTGAAAGAAGTTTTCATCTCATGGAACCCTCAATGTAATTAAAACGGTTTGAACATTTGCTTATTGTTACAGTATCACTTTTACTAATGTTGACTATTTTTATGTCATTTAATGGTAATAGTTCTACTTTTCTGTTTATATATTTTGCAATGCATTGAGGTCTTTTTTCCTCATAAAACATATGAAATGTTTTGCCCAGCACGGTGGCACGCAGCTGCAGAGCCAGCTGTTTGGGAGGCTTCAGCAGGGCCGTCTGACCTGTGCCCAGGAGTTTAAGGCCAGCCTGAGCAACACAGCAATGGCCCCCATGGAAAAATGAGTGAATCAGTGCTTTATACAAGTAATATTTCAGCTATTTAACCACTGCTTTTTATAGTTGTTGCAATTGTTTTTCCCGTATTATTTTGCATTTTGATTTTCAGCATCATTTTTGGCTACCACATTCACTATCATACAGAGAAGTTCAAACTGCTTTCCGATTTTTGTCTTTTAAGCTAGAAAATTTCCTTCCTGATTTGAGATAAAGCCACATCCAATGTTTAAAAAATGTAAGACCACAACGAATTTATTCTGGTGAATACTGAGTGCAAGGTGATGAAATTCTTTGATGGCCTCAAATTACTATCCAATTATTCCAGTATTCGGTGAATAATGTCTCTTTTCCCGATTAACTCCTGATGTCTTCTATGGCATTTATAATAGAGATTAAACATTGGTCTAGTCATATTTCTATAACATTAAAGCATTATGTCACAAGTTTCAGAATTCACTACAAAAAGTCTGTTTCAAAATGTCATTCTGCTCAGATATTCAAAGTTTGGTCAGTGAAGAAACAGGACTGTTACGGTTGTATCTAGTTGTGCCCCAAAGCCTCATGCAGTCGTGGGGCAGACTTCTAGATCTTGTGATTAATTAATGATCCAAGGCTGAGATTATGGGTGGGAGTGGTGTGAGTGCTATACCCAGCCTGGGGCGGATAGCCTGAATGTAACATAAGAGAGACAGACTTGCTCTCTGTAGCCATTGTTGCTACTTCTCCCTTTTGCTCTCTGCTCTCTGCCCTGTGCCCCTCTGCCTTGGAGCCAGCTGAGGATGGACTGAAACCTCCAGTAACTGTGAGCTAAATAAACCTTTAGCTCATTTCCTTGCTTCATTTTGAGTGTCGAGCATTTGTCCCAGCAACGAGACAAGGGTAACCGAGATAAGGACTAAAAGTGTTTTTATTTCCTATAGTCCTGGAATAATCTCTCTGAGATTCTACTGTGTGCTGTCAAAGAGGCACAATTCAATTCTGATAGTCAGCTATTTTTTAAATCTTAAAAATACTAAAGTTTCACCTGTAACAGACAACTTCCATGAACAGATTCGTAACTACAAGTAGATAACTTACCAGTCTTTTCTGATTTAGCACTTGTTCTAACAGAGTAGGTCTTGCAGGACGATCTCCCAAAGATCCAGTTCTTTGTTTGACAATAGAGAGTATGTTATCTGCACTTTCCTGGGATAAATGATAAAAGAAAGATGAGACTCATGATTTGCACAACATAATAACCCAAACAATGGGCACTTCAGTGATGTGATAAATAGGTCCTTACTTTTCTTCCTTTTGCCCAGTTCCTATAAAATTTTGGAAAAGTCCCTTGTTAGGTCATAGGTGAGGTGCTGGAAGTTCACTTTATATAACACTCCTCCTTCCTTCCAATCTCCAGGATTTCCAACCTGGGTTCTGCACTCTTGAGAGCTTGTTTAGAGGTTCTAGTGGGAGAGTGTAACTACTCATATACCCTTGACTGAGGAAGAGTCCTCCTCTAGTGGGGGTGGTTGTCCTCTTTGACAGAGTGGGATGCACGAGGAGCGTTGAAGGAGGAAGGCGACACCCACCTCGTCAGCGATATTGGCTGAATTGACCCTGGCGACCAATGGGGTGACAGATGTCGTGGCCAGATCGCCCTCACATCCACGCACTTTCTCAGGGTCTCAAATTAATAGTGGGGCAAAAGTGTAGGAAGGAGCACTGAGATTTACCTGTGAGCTATTTTAAATATTATAAAAAATACTACATGTAATTAAACATTCTCCTCATATAGAACTACCTAGACTGAACAGTCTGCTTGCTTTTGGATGAAATAAATGAATTTAGAGCTAACCTGTACATTGCTAATGGGACCAGAAGAGGAGCAGTAAGACACTGCTCAAAGAAGCATCTGATCAAAAAGCCTTCAAAATCCAGAAGTGACTAGGAGAAAAATTATAAACTGTCTTGAAAAAGCTAAAAAGCACTGGTAGAATTTTCTGTCACTGTTATAGATAAATCAGGGTAAGTCCCAAAATGATACTACTACTCTTTGACATTAAAATACAAGTAAAATCAGCAGAACTTACTATCAAATATGTAACCCAAGTTACCTGATAGAATAAATCTTTAGTGCATAACAATTTTCCTGGAATAATGAAACATTGCTATAGTTAACCAAAACATTCTGGGGGCTAGGGAGATGGCTCAGTGGAACAAGCACTTGCCTGGCAAGCACAAGGGCCTGAGTTCAATCCCCGGTTCTGCCAAAAAAATAATAATAAATTAAAAAAGAAAAGAAAAGAAAACATTCTGATTCTAACAGAGCCAGGATACAATATTGATTTCATCCAAAATTTTTCACTAAACATAAAAAAGCATAAAATGATTTACCATAAAGCCCATCTTATATGAATTTAACCTTTTTTTAAAAAAATGTATTTAGTACAGGGTCTACAGGGTCTCATTACAGATCAGGCTCATAGTGAACCTTCCTGTTTTTCAGCCTCCCAAGTGCTGGGATTACAGGCATGCGCCACCAGGCCCAGTCTACATCGCCATTAGGGGGTGGGGCTGGCACAGTAGGCCAGGATCAAATCTCCAGCCCCTGTGTCTGCCTAAGCAGGCGCTTTAATCCACTGAGCTATCTGACCTGTCCACCTTGCTATTCTTTATTCAGGATATTATCTGCATTATTCTGTATTCAGGATACTATGTCTTCTTGGCTTCTCTACTGGCCTTTGGGTTGTCTATAAAAGACTCTTTACTTGTTTCTCTGTGAGAAGTTAGCAATCTGATGATACAAGTGTTCTATCCCTCCACTATTTGGCTCCAAAATATAAAAATTTTGAGCTATTTTAATACCTACAGAAAACAAAAATGGTTTCTTTCTCTGTTTCTCCTCAGACAGTTAACTTTATGGTAGTGTTTCATTTTACGAGCACAACTGACTGGACTGCTGAACCCCCCCCCCCCCCATGCCCAGAGCACTGTGCAGCTCTACAGTGCTAGCAGCACAAATCACAGAGGTAGGTAGCGGAACAACCTTGCGTCATCTAGTCCAAACTTTTACAACTGTTGGAATGCCCCTGGGAAAACACTCAAAACTTTTTGTTCAAAGGAGTTTACCTTTTTTTTGTGGTTTTCTGTTTGGATCTGAAGAGCTCTAACATTGAGGAAGCTTTTAAAGAGCTTGAGCTGAAATGTACAATACTTATGATTTTTGGCTAGAGTCCTAGTTACTTCAGAACTATGATAAAATGTTTCTTTCAAATGGCAGCTTTTATATTATTTACTGATGATTCTAATCCACACAAATTATTTTATCTCCAGCTGCTTCATATAGCATAATTCTTTGATATACAGTTTGGGTATTATATATATATCTGTACTTATTTAACCCTGGTTTGTGTAAGACACACTTTTTTTTTTTTTCCAGTTGTTTTGAGTCAGGGTCTCAGTATGCAGTGTAGACTGGCCTCAAAATCCTGGTGATTTTCCTGCCTCAGCTTTCCAAGTAGTACAATTTTAGGTACATACCACCACGCCTGGTAGAAATATTCATTTTAAGTGCTTCAAATTCAGGAATTTTGATCTTTCAGGATTTCAGCATTTGGAATTATGAGCCAAACCGTGTTAGGTTAAAACTGCATAGGATAAAAAGTAAAGCGAAATCAGTCATTCCCTAACCAATGTGACCTGACATGTGTTGCTGACTATAGGTTGTAGAGATATTTAGCACACATTTATAACAATTACAATGCCTAAAATCTGAGTAATAGGATAGCTTTTCAAGTTCATAACATTGTTCACTTTTAAGCATTATTTTCTCACTCATCTTAAACTAAATTCATTGATTTTTTGCACTGAGATTATTTTACAAAGAGGAAACCCAAGTTGAAGTATCTGCTTCTCCGTAGCAACTCTGACTACTTATTGTTACCTATTCACAATGATAACAGCTCAGGTCTATTAGCTTGAAGTCCACTGCACAGTATGAACACTCACTTGGGAAAATCTCATATACTGACGGCAAAACTAGGGGCTAGGTACTATTTTAATGTCAACAGAAGAGGAAGTTAAAACTTGCAGGCTAATACTTTAATCAAGGCCACAAAGCCAGCACGGAATAGAGGGGGATTCCAAGCCACAATGTTAACTCCAGAGCCCTGGTTTCAACCTTCAACACAGTTCCAGTGAAAACAATATAAAATCTGAGACTTACAACCTATTAACATTAAATCTTCTCAGGGTAAGAAAAGAAAAGAAACGGCACTAAGGGCGGGGAAACCAAGAATAAAATGTAAGCACAGGGATACTAAGAATCATGCTAATTCCAGGCCATGCCTCAGATCCTTGAAAGGTCAGCTCTTGCTGTTGTGTTACATCTTGTCGTTGGCATTTATTCTCTTATCAAGGGGGCAGCTGCTAAGGCTTCGCGGGCGGTCCTGCAAGTCCTAACGAGCAGGCAAGCGCTCAGCGAGTCCCGCCGGGAACCCCGCACCCGGGAGCAGCCGCGCGCCCCAGCCGGGTCCGCGGCGCGCTGGGTCCTCCGGCCCCTCCAGCCCCGGCGCCCGGGAGCGGCCGTACCTCCAGTTTGACGCCGCCCGCCGCGGCGGCCGCGCCGCAGTTCAGGGCCTGGTCGCTCTTCTTCTTCTTGTACTTGTCCTTGTACATCTTGTTGCGGTGCTTCTTGCACATCCACGGCTTGCGCTGCTTGGCCACCTGGCTGGTGGTCTCGCTGCAGCCCGCGTAGGTGCAGGTCTTGCTCGCACCGCCGCCGCCGCCGCCGCCGCTGCCTCGCCTGCGCCGCCCCGCGCCGCCGCCCTCGCCCCCCGAGTGCGCTTCCTCGTCTTCTAGGTCCTCCAAGCTGGCCGCGCTCTCGCCGCCCCCCGGGGGGTCCGAGGTGTCCAGCAGGTCGGCCTCGTCCTCGCCGGCCTCGTCCTCCGCATCCCCCGCAGCCTCGCCCGGGTCCGCGCCGGGCTTCGCCGCGGGGGCCGGGACCGGGGCCGGCTGTAGGGCGTCCTCAGCCCCGGCCTCCTCCGGCCCGCAGCACGGGTGCATCACCAGCAGGGTGAACTGCGAGGCCGGCGCCGCCGCGGGCGCGGACGGCCCCACGCCCTCCGCGGCACCCTGCACCTCCGTGCTTGTGGGCACCTGGCCGGGGTCCACGCCCCCAGCGCCGGCGAGGGCCTACCGCCGCGCTCTCCCAACCCAAGAACCCGCCAGAAGAAGAGGCAGCGACTCCACGAAGGTTCCCCACTGCGCCTGCGCGCCGCAGTACCAGCGTCAGCGTCCGCACGCTCTCGGGTTGTCAGAACTCGGCGTCGGACGGAGGGGCGGGGCTACGCGGTAACGGGGCGGGGCTACGCGGTAACGGGGTGGGCTGGTTGCGCATGTGTAAGCCGGTTGGCCGGGTCTGCAGCTGAGGCGGGTTGAACCTTGTTGGTTTGGCTAGGGGGATTTTTGCCTGTGTTTGCTGCATCCGAAACGGCTCAGAGTCGTTTTCTGTTGGGATTCCAACGTGTAAATTAACCTTGATTTTGAGCGATCTATGACTGGAGGCGTTAGGATGCTGATTACAACTTAATGATAATTTGCCCCAAACTGCCTGAAATAGGAGAAGCAAAGCCGCCACTCGCAAGCAGGCGCCACCAGTTCACAGACAATAAAGGGAACGTGGTCTGTTTCAGACTAGGAGAGTGGGGGAGCGGGCCAGGGGTACAAGTGTTGAGAAATGTTTTTTTGTTTTGGCTGTCAGAGTGATCAGTCCCAGTATCTTTGCACTGAACTACATCTTCAGGACTTTTTTTTTTTTTTTTTTCTTAAAGCTTTGAGAGAGGGTGTCCTTAATTTGTCCACGCAGGGATCTTAGTTGGGATTTTCCTTCCTCCACTTCCAAGAGTACTGGGATTACAGGTATGCACCAGCACACACCTTGCTTACACTTGATAAGCTTTTTTCCCCCTGTCCTGGAAAGTTTGATATTTATTTATTTACATTTTATTTTAAAGAAAGAATGATAAAATTTCACAACAAGAGGGTAGCAATTGTTGATACATTGTTATCTTCAAATTAGTTGCTCAGATTAAAGATACAGGCATGCAAACTTGATCAAACAATTTAAGTACACTTTTCAATGAACTAATAGAAAATCATAGTATAACTAACTTAACTATCATATGTGTGTGTGTGTGTTTCCTTTACCTCTTCATCTTTTCTCTTTTCCCCATCCCAGTTTTTCTTTCCGTTTGAACATTTTCTTCCCAATTTCACAATATCTATTGTACAATTTAGGTTTTTTTTTTTTTTTTTTTTTTTTTCTCCGAATGCCTTCAGGGCAGGTTTGGCTGGCTTGAGTTGTGGGGACCGAACCACAGCAACCTGAGCCTGACTGCTTGGTTGAAGCAGCCACTTAAAGAACTGAGCTAAGGGGCAGGCCCCCCTATTGTACAATATAGATCTTGTTTACTCTTTCAACTTCTCACCCTAGGGAGACAGTACAATCTTTATACATTCAAGCTTGATTTATTTCACTTATGAGTATGGTCTCAAGTAGCATCCATTAAAGTGTCAAGCTTATCCTTCTTTATAGCTGAGTAGTACTGCATTCTATAAAAATACCACATCTTTTTTATCCATTGCTTGCTTGATGGGCATTTGGGTTGTTTCTAAGATTTAGCTATTATGAGTTGTGCTGTTATAAACCTGTGATTTTTTTTTTTTTTTTTTTTTTTTTTGTGTGTGTGTGTGTGTATTTTTAGGGAAGCATCTACAGGGTGTTCAGGGTCTCACTACTAGAGCAGACTCATAGTGATCTGCCTGTTTACAGCCTCCCAAGAGCTGGGATTATAGGCACGTGCCCCCACACCCAGTCTTAATTGCCATCTCAGCGGAGGCGGGGCCTGACCCTTGTGCCTGCTTGCAGGTGCTTTAATCCACTGAACTATTTGGTCAGCCCTTTAAACATGTTATCTTTTGGGGCTGGGGCAATAGCTCAGTAGAATAAGTGCTTGCCTGGCAACCTCAGGGTCCTGAGTTCAATCCCCAGTACAGCAGAAAAGCCAGCCATGTCATTTTTAACACTTGCACTTTGCTATGTTCTCTTCAGTTATTTTTAATCTTTTCATTAACTACCATGAAAATATGTGAAAAGGAGCATCAAATGACAAACACTTAACAGAACAAAAACACCTTTTCTACCAGTTGCTAGGCAATTGCTGGTCTCTTGACTTGGCCAACTGGATGGAACAGATCCAGCTGTATCCTGGACACAATTGACAAATAGATGTTTTCTTTATCTTCTTAATCAGGTTTCCTATTTTACCTATTGTATTTTTTAATTTTTAATTTTTATGTATTTGGTACAGGGTCTCACTACACAGCTTGGACTTAGAGTGATTCTCTTGTTTTCAGTCTCCCCAGCTCTGGGATTACACGCGTACACCACCAAGCTTGGTCTCAGTAGCCAGCTTGGCCAGCCCAGGGCAGGACCAGCATGGCATGTGGTACTGGAATTAACGTGATGGGATTCCAATAACTTATCCATGAGACTACAAATATAATCTTCCTGGCCCAAGACAAGGGCCAGAAAGGGATCTCTGTAAAACTTGTATGCAATACATATGTTATGATTTTTCTCTGATTAATCAGCTTTTTACTATATGAGTGCCAGTTATGAACTTTGCATGCAATGGATGAGGAATGATTTTAAAAGGAAGGATAAAGTCATGCATTTATTTATGACTCAGGATACTTTAAAAAGAACATCCATAATATAAGTGTTTTGAGCATTTTTAAGGTAGGTTAAGCTCAACTACAATGTTCAAAGCTTAAGTATTAAACACATTTTTGATTTATGATATTGTCAACATGTGATAGGTTTTCCAGGATGTAATTTCTTCTGCTTTAAGATCCCCCAATTTATTGATCTGTAATCCAACGTCTAGAACTTAAAAATATAAGGAAGACTATTCTTTTTTTTTTTTTTTTTTATAAGTGATAGTAAAGAAAGAATAGATTGGAAAAAGAAACAGGTAAGAAACTGTGGACAGACTACTCTAGATCTCTGAGACACTGAATAGCAGAGTTTTTTTTTTTTTTTTTTTTAAACCAAGTAATCAAAAATATATTATCTCTGTCTCAGTTACTCTTCTCTTATTGCTGGGACAAATACCCGACACCTAAAATGAAGGAAGGAAAAGGTTTATTTAGCTCACAGTTACTGGAGGTTTCAGTTCACACTCAGCTGGCTCCAAGGCAGAGAGGCACAGGGCAGAGAGCATTAGTTCATGGCAGTGGCAAAGAGCGAGAGGAGCCAAGGGAGGAGTGGCAGTGACAATGGCAACAGACAGTCTATCTGTATTGCATTCAGGCTCTCAGCCCCAGGCTGGGGGAAGTACTCACACCCATAATCCCAGCCTTGGATCATACATAATCCCAGTGGATCATGAGTTAATCACAAACTCTAAAAGTCCCCGCCCCATGACTGCATGAGGGGGGACAGCTAGACACAAACCATAACAATCTCAAAGCAAAAAATTAAAACCATACATATTTTAATTTACATACATCAAATTTAAATACATATATACTAATTTAAAGGCAACATCTTTTATTGAAATTCAATAAAATGTCTATTTCTTAGTTCCTTTAGTTGTGCTGTTTTGGTTGTCTTGATGTGTTGAATGGTTTCACACTGTTTACCTTTAAGGTAAGTTTCATCTGGAGGAAGAGCCAGAAGTTTCCCAGTGATGCATCAGGAGAATGAGGTGGATAAGGATACACTGTTTTTATGAGCCTGCCTGCCCAGTGGGTGGTATTTAGAAGACCTATTCACTGTAGCTTCTATCACCTCTCATGGAAACACTCCAGAAAAGAACGTCCAGGAAGTGGAAAGGAATGATGGGATAACTGAAATTGAAGTGAGTGGGAGTACTGTGTTTTGAGGGGACTGTATTGTGTCTTTTAATACAGTGAATTAAAAAATTTAAAATATACTATATTTTTCAATCACTTTTTACATGCTTTAATATTCTAGTAAGTCTATGAAGGTCAATTTTAAAACTCCCTATCACATGTTTGGAATTGATTTTTTAATGATTTTTGCAGTGAATACATTGAAAGCATTGTCAGCCATATCTTTAGTAGAAATTATAGCTGCTTTTCAAACAATTGAGGATGTCTTAGCTAGATTCCAAATCCTTTTAATTAGGCTGATTAAATTATGCTTTGTCCTCAAAATCCTTTGGAAGTTCAATTAACTTTTCTTGAAAGTGCTGGCAAACACATGTCACATCTGTGTAAAATCACCCAATCTGTTATTGTAAAATGTTAAGTGATCTGTAATTCTGATCATTATAGCATCGAGATGAAGGCCATATAATTTTGAATCATTGCATTTTAATGTATCCATATGTTAGATTGTGCTGCAAACTTAAATCTATAAAGGTCTTGGTGAATAAACGTGACTGACTGAATGTTCATGTGCCCCTATAATTGATATTTTGATATCTAATTCCATAAGGTGGTGCTATTTGGAAGTGAGGCCTTTCAAAGGTAATTAGGTCCTGAGGGTCAAAGTCCTTCATAATTGGTATCAGTGCCCTTAGGAAAGAGATTCCAGAGACTTCTTCCTCCTTCTGCCATTAGAGAATCAAGCTGAAAAGTGATCTTCTATGAAGTAGTGACCTGGGTCTTCACTAAAGAATCTACTGACATCTTTTGTTTTGTTTCATTGTCTTAAGACAGCATGTGAAGTTACCTGAAGTATGAGCAGCATATTAAATTTTGTCAAAAATTTTAACATGGGGGGCTGGGGAGATGGCTCAGTAGAATAAGCACTTCCCTGGCAAGTGCAAGGGCCTGAGTTCAATCCCTGGTTTCGGAAAAAATAAAAAAAATAATAACATGAATCTGACTGAGCCTATAGAAATCATTTTATATTTATAAGGAAGTGAGGAAGGAATATGTTAAAGTACACAGAGGAAGCAATCTGAAAAATACAGAATCTGAAAAGGCAGATGATAGTCTAAAAACTTAAAGGTCTGTTAAGGTAACGTGAGAGAAAGTGCTTATATTTAGAAAACTGATGTTTAGGAGTGAAGTGGTATGATAGCTGGATTTACATTGAAATGTTTTAGCCAAAATTTAAATACATCTAGGAAGCAGTAATTACAAAATATTTGCAATTATTGAGCCTAGGTGTGTGGGTGTACCCCATAGGAGAAATATGACTCCCAACCTGTTAGGTGTCAAATGTGCTGAGTTCAGGGAC